TCTACAAACTGCCTAGTCGGCCGCCACATAGACTTTCCGGTCACCCATCTGTTTTGTGTATTTTTTTACTCAAAGACGTTGAAAACCTGCCATCATTGGGGCCATAAATTTGCATTTTTTATACCACAGCACTAAGTTTGTAATGACGGGGACCCTGGGCCTTAAATATACAATTATTATTATTGTTATTACAAATCATCACTAAGGGCGGGTTGGAATGTGAGTCCGTTTTGCATCCATAACTGACATTGGTGATCCAGGCTCACGCGTTTTGTACTAAGTACTGTGCACAGAAGTCTCCAGTCTCTAAAAGTGGGTGTGGAAACTCAAAGTCTAAATTCCAAAGCAAACGTACGCGTCTCCTTTTTAATTTACCTATTAAGGTACCCTCTACCCCTTTGAAATCGATTATTTAATACTTCTGGCGGTCAGCTGCCTAAATCGATTCATTAGCAGGCTGCTGACTGCCGGTCGTTTATATACCCACTCGCATTAACATCAGCTCATTTAAAAGTTAAAATTACATCGACTCTAGGTATAGTTGTCTACGCATTTTCATTCAGTTACCAAACGGTGGTCTCATATGCCTGTCTGTTTTCCTAAAGTTTTGCTGCTATTCACGCCTTTTAAAGCTAAACTCCGCTAACATTATTTCGAGAGTTTTTTAAAGTATTTTCTTCCTTCGGTGAAGGCCCTATACACCCGCCTACATCTCCCTGTGTTCTCGAGCCTGACCGCAGAATTAGCAGCCAGTCGTAGAGCTCGTCGAGATCGTCTGGGTTTCGGCGTTCGCAGCACTCGGCCGCGTCAACTACCCACCACTAACGCTGCCCTTCTCCAACTGGCGCCACTTCATCCTCTTCCGCGCATCATAATTGAGTGGCGTCGGATCAATGGCCTCCTTTCTAAGACTTTTGGCTCCCTCGTGGCCTCCTGTTCACGTTCTTTGGTCGACTTTTGTGTAGCGTCAGATGGACAGCAACTCAACGTGGTGCGTCGACCTGCAAGTATATTTTTTCGCTTTCATTATTGCCTTTCGACCTGTTGTCCTTGAGTACGAGTACTCCGATTTTCTTTTCTAGATATTACTTTATTTTTTGTCGATGTCGGATGGGCGCCGCCACTGGGTAAATTCTTTTGATCTTGCTGCTGGATTTATCTTCAATAGGCGTTCTGGCGATCAAAAAAATGGAGTTACTTTTAAGTAGCTATTTTGACCGTACGTAGGATGGGCGCTGGGCCCGACGAACACGTTGTGTCGGGAGACCTTTTTGCGAACTCCAATACTGAAAGCTTCGGTAACCCGCTTATCCGAAATTGAAGTGGATGATAGAAAGGGGGTTGGATTTAAGGATTTAATTTTAGACGGGTGTTGGGGCACTATATATCAAGACTTTGCTTCAGCTTCATTCTCCGTTGATTCCATTTACACGTCTTTTGTTTATGGCCTTCGCCTTCTTATTAGTTGGCCGTCGTTCGGTTAAGGTTGGTTTTCTTTTTGCGCCAATCCAATTTCTTCTTCCCTCCAGCTTTTGCTATTGATTTCCAATTCCCATTTTTTGAACGACGTTCGACCATGACAATTAATTATTCAACCACGTGAACGAACCACGGCACCAAGGTCTGCATCATCCTTTTAAGCCATTTCCATCGGCTTCGCTACGCCGTTCCACTATTCCCCACCCGTAAACCCCTATTAGCAAGTCCCCCGTATTACAGTGATCTACGTAACCTTTTTCTCAGTGGCGGCGCCTATTGTGCTTCCACCCAATATCCTACAACATGAGCGATGGCACTGCTGAATTAACTAAGCCAGCGCTACATTCAGTGAAACAAATGAGGCCATGTTAATGCTTGCATTGTGGCTCTTCATGTCCAGTAACGCGGCGTCTCCATCTAATACTTGCTTGAGCCACTCCCTTATCCGCGGACCGAATATGCACGACCGAGGTGGCAGTTACTGCAGATCAGCTTATTATTAAGTTAAATCTTCAAGTCTGATATCCGAATAAGGTAGGCCTGGGTTATGTCGACTAAGGCGGTGGAAAATAAGATAATCGGTTGCTGAAAAGTCAGAGGCATATGGGGGAGGATTAGAACAAAGTTTCCCATCATAGTGCAGAATTATTTACCTCAACTATTGTATTCTTCCGGTAAGTAGTCCTTTATCGGTTCAGATTTTATAGAGAGGATCTTATCCGCGAGTGTTTATCATTTTTTGTGAATGCAGACAGACTCAGAGAGCTTGGTCGACCCACCATTCATGGTATTTATTCCCAGGCTCTAACTTGGACTTTAACCCAAACCTCAACCACACCGCTTATGATAACTCAACCCTTAATGTTGACTCTCAATTCTTGGGAGTTCAACGTAAAGTCGCTTGTATTACCGATAGTTCCTGTTTCTAGGTCCCGACTGCCTTTGCATTTACCGGAACGCTTGTTCTTCACTATTGCCCGCTGTGCAACTCCCTGTTTTTGTTTTTCTTTCAGCCACCCTCAAAACTGCGAATAACTCCGACCTATGACGTCTTCACAGCCACTGGTCGGATAGTGTCCGCTCATCCCAACCTGCAGTCAGTTCCCAAAACGTTCACCATCAGCTGGCAGGAGCTGTTGACTAGGCCGCCTCCGATCACCGGTT